CCAGATGCAGAGCCAGCTGTACCCGCCCCCTCCCCCGTCCGTTCCGCCAGTCAGCGCTAGAGGATCGGAGCGGGGAGGGGGGAATCCCTGCAGGGAGCCGTGAGTGACAGTCACAGCTCTCTGCAGGGATAGATCGAGAAGTGAGCGAGCAACGGTATGTGTTCGCTCACTTCTCGATCTATTGAGCCGACCTGTGACAGTTTCATTGTCACACGTCGGTTCAAACTATGAGGCTGAGTGATCTTCACTCACCTCATAGTTCTCCTTTAAGCATTCAGTAAGCGAAGTAAAAATTCTCTTTGCAAAGTGAACAAGCTCAACCCATCAACCCATGACTCAAATAGGTAGAGTTAAGGAATTTCCATTTTACAGACCACAATCATTGCAGTCCCTGATCTTCATAGGAATTTAGAGATTGTGGCCACCAAAAACAGATATTTTTGTATTTTTGGTTGAATTTTTTAAAAAAACGTACATCTTCTTTATACAAATACACAAATCATTTGGGAATCCAGATAGATTGACTAATTCCTTCTGTCTATTTGGGGGCAGCGGAGAAACAAACTACAAACATGAAAACCTCATTATTAAAGTCCCTAAGATTAAACTTTTCAATGCTTTCCAAAACACATTCACCTATTTACCATACAGCTAATGATAGCTGGCCAGCTCGCTGCCCTTATATTGCTCTATTGTTCCCTCAGGTACAGTCTCAACTCAGCGCTGCTATGGAAAAAAAATGAAATTTGCCCTAAGGGATGGAGAGGAAGGGCAGTGGGTGGGGGATTACTTTTTGAGCTGGTCTTTTGAAGGCAAGGGTCCTTCCACTTTTCCGGCAGTGGGAGGTTGGGGGTGTCTCCTTACTGCTGCTACTTGCTACTCTACAGGGTGGCATTCTATTAAGTTAATGGGAGCAAAACCTGTTTTTTTGCTTTTTTTCATTACAGGGCCTCAACAAGCTGGAAATAATCCTGTAATTCATTGGCCTACATATACCATATAGTGCAAATACCAACTTTCTAAAAGTCAAAGAAGAGGCGTGCCCTTCCCTTGCTTCTGACCCAAGTGAGTTAGAAGGTAGCTTAAAGCCTTAGTTCTCAACTGGTGGGTCGTGACCCAAAAGTGGGTCGCGACCCCATGTTCAGTGAGTCGCCGCATGCCTTCCACTTGTCTAGGTGGGAGGCTCCTCAGCCTTCCCGAAGCCCCCCTGTAGTGCAGCACTGTCCTTTCTTACACCAAGCAGCCATTCAAAATATGCTGCCCAGCGCCAAGTGTTGACTTGAGGTGGGGTGGGCTGGGGGTATGGCTGCGATGGAGCTCCCTCCATATGTTCATCACTTACAGCTCCCTCGCATGTCCCGTAGAGGTTCCTGGACTGGAGTGACATCACATTCTGGCTCCCAGCACCTCTACAGGCGCACATGTGAGCGGCACAGGCAATGCACATATGGGATGACCCATGTTCAGTGAGTCGCCGCATGCCTTCCACTTGTCTAGGTGGGAGGCTCCTCAGCCTTCCCGAAGCCCCCCTGTAGTGCAGCACTGTCCTTTCTTACACCAAGCAGCCATTCAAAATATGCTGCCCAGCGCCAAGTGTTGACTTGAGGTGGGGTGGGCTGGGGGTATGGCTGCGATGGAGCTCCCTCCATATGTTCATCACTTACAGCTCCCTCGCATGTCCCGTAGAGGTTCCTGGACTGGAGTGACATCACATTCTGGCTCCCAGCACCTCTACAGGCGCACATGTGAGCGGCACAGGCAATGCACATATGGGATGGAGCTCCATCACAGCACAGCAGCCCACACTGCCATATGTTCTATTTGCAGGGCGACTTGGGTCAGGACTTAATGACCGAGGACAAATGTGGGTCCTGAGGTTACACAGGTTGAGAACCACTGGCTTAAAGGATAACTAAACCCAAGAACGAAATCATAATATATTGCAGCTTACCATTCCTTAAAAGTGGCGGCTGCATTGGCTCCAAACAGTAAGTGCAGAATATATCTGCGGAAAAGCAGTATCCTAGTCACTTTCTGTGGGATGGACTGGAAGAGTTATTTTTCTACTAATCTCCCCATGTAATGAAGATGAACTCACATATTTGAATTCCAGCCGGGGTGGCAACCATGACTCAATAGATACAATGGCGGAGTGAGGGCAGCCACCCTAGGACAGAAAGTGTGTTAATTACGGGATCACCAGGTGAAAATGAAAGGGGATAAAGCAGGAAAAAAAGGAAACATATGCAGCAACCTCATCTAAGGTCTGGTAAGTGGCAATCTATTAATTTCCATCTTAGAT